TGTACTTCCCCTGTCCTGCCTGGGGAAAGAGGCTTCCCTGTGCCCCCTGCCCCAATTTAGCCATATGTGAAGAAGAGAAGGATTGTGGAATCTTTTGTTTTAAGGTGCAGAGGGGTTCTCTGCAACTTGTTTCTGCTTGTGTTGAAGGAGAACCTGCTCCTGAAGGCTAAAGGAATTGAAGTTTTGCACCGTTATAACAACCCTGGTCATACAAAGGAGGTTTTGAGAGGCAAGCTGTATCAATAGCCCTTAGTTTACTCCCAGTATCCTTGAGCTAATCCATGCAACCTAAAAGGAGATGACCGCAGTACTTAGCTAGTAACCACTACTTGGGCCACTGTGGAGAAGTGAGAATTCAAGCAATCATAATATAAGCAATAACTTATTTATAAATGGTGGGGACAAAATCTGGTCTTGTTTATGCTAGAAGTTGGTGGGATTCTGCCAGTCTTGCACCATTGTAGCTCAGATCAGAATCTAGTGTGGAAGATATAAAGCTTGAGCCAAGGCATGTTGTATGGATTTGTTAGAAACCAACTCTTTGGTCCTCTTGAAATTGTGTAGAGAGCAGCATTTTTTCCATTAGCTGATTTATGAGTTGGGCCCAAGACGCAGAGTAGGACAGCCAGAATTGTTTCAAACACAGTTGCATAATTTCCAGATTCCAGCCTTCTAGGCTGAATGTGAACAGCCTTCTCATGCTAGTTTGAAAAGAGCCTCCTTGTTTCTCCACTTGCCATGTAACGTTCATCCATTTCCAGACCCCATCATTTGTCTCTTCTACATGCAGGAGAATGTCCAGATTAGCAACATGCTTTTGTAGGTGTCTTAGTGGGTGATCTTGTGGTAGCTTGCGCTTCAAAAAGTTTTGCTTTATTAGTGGTAAACAACAGTGGTTTGTGGAACTCGGGGTTCAACCAAATGTGAAATAGTAATTAATTTTCCAGAATGCTTCACGTCTCAGAATGCTTCATGCTTCAAGTGTGTTGATGGACAGTTTGCAGGTGGCACAAGTTAGCCTCTGTCTTATCTTTGCAGCTTTTTGAAGGTAACATGCATTATGATATCCCTGAAGTTCGAAGGTTTGACCCTGTTCCTGCACAGTACATCCGAGTTCATCCAGAGAGGTGGTCTCCAGCTGGGATTGGGATGCGATTGGAGGTACTGGGCTGTGATTGGACAGGTAAGATGTTTGCTTTCTGGGTCAGTGAAGCATGCTGCGGATAGTGATAGTCCTTGAAATAGCAAGTCAGGAGTGTAGTCATGCCCTATACTCCTGCTGTGAGGACCTTGACAAAGGCAGACTTTACATGCAAAACTAAGATAAAGAGTGTGATCCAAATCCAAACTATTCCTTACTAAAATGGGATCAGGGTTGGTACTGTGCTTGAGACGAGACCTGGCTGCAAACTTTGGATCCGAGTCTTAAGTTTCCTGTAGAGAAACTGGACGATCCTGGTTCAGACCCATCTCTGAATCTTATTTATTACCTAAAAGGTTGTTCATCCTCATTATTATTGACATTGCATGATCTTATTGTTTGGGTCTAAGAGTTGTAACTGAGACCTTGGCCCTGTTGTGTTAGGGCATTACAGAAGCACAGAGTATGATTCATCCTCTTTCCCAAGAAGCATATAACTCAAGCAGGCAAGACAGAAGGTGGGAGGAAAAACAGGAAAGTGATGAAGTGACCCTCCTGTGTCACTCTCCAGCAGGTCAATGTCTGAGTTGGGAATAGAACCCAGGACTATTGATTCCTAGTCTTATACTCTGTCTGCAAAACCACCGTTTGCCACTGAAGTTTTTTTTCCCTCCTGCGCATCACCACATAAAAATTCTAAAGCTAAAGGGACTTGCGACATGGTTTGTAGACACTCTAGGACTGGGGAACTTGGTCTGTGGCACCTTGCTTCCATAAGTGGAACAAGTTTGCAGCTGCCATAACTTTTAGTGCAGAGCTGTGACCCAGGAAACTACTGAACAAGCTCACTGAGGTCAGTAGGAATTGCAGCTTCTACACCAAGGCTAAATTTGGTCCTTCAGATCTTAACAGGCAGTTGTCCCTTTAGGTACATTCCTGAACTAACCCTGCCAAAAAAACGTGGTTCTGCTTGATACTGAATCGTCAAGGCCAGTAGCTAGACCTCCTCTATTTTTTTCTTTTTTTTTAAATAATCGGCTTAAATCTGAATCTGGTCTCCAGATGTCAGTGGTAAAGAGGTATGATTTCTATTTTAAAAACACATCTGTAAAAGGAATTTTCTTGTAAGAGTTACTACTCCAAGAAGCTTAAAAGAGCTATAGTCCCCGCCTAGCCTTTCATGAGATTTTTTTTTTACTGCCCTTTTCTTCTGTTATGTCCTACAAGACATATTACAAGCATTTGCCAGAAAAGCATAAAACAAATAGAAAAAAAATCCTAAGGGTAAAATCCTGTTCCCACTGAAGTCAGTGACAAAGTTCCCACTGACTTCAGTGACAATGGGATTTCATCCTAAATTATTTAACTTTAAATCAAGAGTGTATGTTTTGGCACATTATATGTTATAGGGAAAACAAACCTTATGAGCTTAGTACAGGCATCTTGTACTGAGATTCTGTGGACTGTGTCAGAGGCAGGAGGCTCAGATGACCATCACGACCCCTTCTAGTCTCAAATCTGTGAATCCATAGCCTTTTGAAAATGGACTTGGAGTGGGGGCTTTTGGCTAGGACAAGTCACATGCTTACTTGAACTGTGGAAGCAAATTTTTTCCCGGGAAACTGTTACATACCCTGGTTAAGATTGTGTGCATTACATAACCCACTCTGTGAGGCCTTACGTCCTGTTATAGTTTCCAGCTACAGAGCTTGGCTCTTCTGATTAAGCTGTAGTAACTTTTAACTAGAGAGAGCTGCAGTCTAATATTTGGCCAAGATAGCAGTCACTACATTTACACTGTTTAACCCGTACAGAAAAAAAGAGTCCAGTCCGACCAGCTGTGCCAAGTATTCTTCTTTGCTCTACCCCTTGCATGTTGCTCTGTCAGGGTAAAAGGTACAGAAGTTGATTGTATCTTCCTAGCTGAGAATTCCCCTGGCATGGAGAAGTTGCTAGTAGGTGTAAAGTCAGCCAAGCTAGTCCTTGTGCCAGGTTCTCCTGTATCCCCTGGCTATCTCTAATGGACATACAACTTCTTAAGGGTGGTTGCCAATTGGTATAGCTTAGAGCAGCCCTGTGGCTACTCTAGCTTGGGGTAGGCCAGGCATTGTGTCTGGGATGTCTAATTGGCTCCCTGGTGGCCTTTCCACCTCAGTCCAGTGCAGCAACAAATTTGGGCCATACTCTGGAGTTCAGCTGTCTCAGTCCCTCATGCTTTTTTGTCCAAATTCTTCATTATGATGCTATCCACACTGAGTTTGAACTGTTCTAATAATCACATTTCAATTATAATCACATTTTTCCAACAAGTGCGTCTGACAGTCATTTTGCAACATGACTGTCTAGTACTTTACAGCATTAAAATAATATTCGCCATAAATATCCTTAACTTTTATTTATTTACAAGCATTCATTGCTGTTTGTAATTCTGGTACGTGTAGAAACAAAGCATGTGACAAGTGTGTTAAAGTGCTTTAACTCTTCATTCATTCAGATGCTCTTTAGTTTAAATGAGACTCAGACGTGTTACAGATCTGTGTATAAGCACTGCTTGTGAAGCCCCAAGCTGTAGCACTTGCATGGGAACAAGATCAGGAACCTAGTTAAAATACAATGATTTAATGATTTCAGATATGGTTATAAGTTTACTGTGGATCTGGCCCAGCTGTTGTTGTTCCTGTTGACATCCAACAGCTTTATTAATTGAGTCAAACAGGTAACTGATGGCAACTAGGCTCAAAAATTATTTGGCTGGTAGCTAAACACCGTGAAGTAACTGGTCAGCAATTGGCTTGTTTCAAAGACCTGCCAACATTTTTCCTCTGAAGATTGAAGACTGATAAACATTGGGTTGTGACTGTTCTTCTCCCCTTTGAAGTTCTGAACATCTGGTTTCAGTTGCTGGATAACTTTGCAGCGTGATCAGCAGTTACCTCTTGTCGCACAGTCAGTGCCTTGCTAAGGAGAAAGACCTTTTCTTTCTCCCTTCCCATTTCACACTTTGCATTGTCCTGCTTGCCATTTTCATTATCTCTTGTATCCATCTTGTTGCACTCCACCGTGGTAACTGATTTTCAAGACATGTTTCTGCAGACTGTCCAGGACTGCAGAAGTCCTCTAATTTACACCAGCTGTGTGCCTGGGTCCTGTATGCCACTTTGGCTTTCAAGGTCCTTTCACATTGTCACATTTCAGCTATAAATCTCAATGAACAAGAACAACAGCCTAAAAATGTAGCGCATCTAAATAACTTGCAGCTTTTGACGTGTTGCCTTCACCTGGTGTTTTTTTAATGACTATTTTGTGCCTTGCTGCATGCAATTTGCTTCTCAGCCGCCTTTGGAGTTTTAAGAGGTTGTAACAAATTTGAACCTACAAATTAAAAGGCTTTGAGGTTATTTGGTATTTTACCATGAACAAAAGGCAGCTGCAGAAAAAAAAAGAAACCCAAAGAGTTTATTTGCAACATGTTTAATAACAGAAAGGGGAATCAGTGAATGGAAAATATTCAACGTATTTAGCTGTTTCCTTCAGCTCCTGGCTTTATTAAATGATATCCTAAAGGGTGCCGACAAAGAAACTTAATCATATATAATAGAACAAGGAAACCTTTTTAAAACTGGAAAGAATAACAAGACTGTGCTGACTGCTCTACTTCAGTTAAACCGCCATATAAAAGGAAAGGATGATGGAACTGAATGTCGTTTACCGTTGATCTTAATATCTTCCATTTTGCATGTAATTTCCCTTGACACATGCTTTTAGGTTGGCTCACATAGTCTGTGTTGGGAAGAGGGAAATTGGACAGAGCTGCTTTAAAGCTATAGTCAAGAGGCTGTAGTGTGAAACCAGATGCTTGCTGCAGTAAGCCAGTCCACGTTAGGGATTCTCTGGGTCTATTCACAGTTACGTCATTTGCAGTTTTGAGTGACTTGTTTTATAAATTGGCACAATTGGTGGGAATATTTTTTATGTAGCACGCCTTTATGAAAGAAAAGAATGTTCTGCCTGTGATCTCTGTTATCTGGTAATAACAGTAAACCTACTAGCCAGTATAGACATACATATAAAAACTGAGTATAAGTTTAAAGGATTCTTGTCCAACAAGGGTTCCAGATCAAAGTGTTTCTTGTTTTCACTTCATATATAAAACAAGTTTCACAAATGAGTCAAACCATGTCTACTATTAATGCCCCTTTCTTATTCTCTCATTATAAGACTCAGGAAGAAAGGCTTCCTATTTGGTTTCTTCTCTTGGGTTCTCAGAGTATATCAGGGTCATGATTGTTGGGTCTCTTTCATTCTTTTTATGCAGATGTAAGGCCCACTTCAGAGACTCTGAAGCCTACCTTGAAGAGTGAAGAGACCACCACACCATACCCAATTGATGAGGAAACAACAGAATGTGGTGATGGCTGTGGAGAGAGTGATGGTGAGTAGAGGAATTAATGATGGGTTAAACAGCTAAGTGATGACTAGCCTTCCATTTCCTCCTACCTAAGGGGACTGCATCTTGGAAACCTGCAAAATGATATATCACTGAGAAAAGGCCAAGGGGAAAAGAATCAGACTCCAAATCCAGTCTCTTATATCAGGGAAAGATAGTAAAGTAACAGAAGAAAAGAAGGCTGGTCTGGTGGTTAGGGTGCTAGACTAAGGGCTTAGGAAATGTACATTAATTTCCTTGGTTTGTAACTTAACTTATATGTGGACTCAGCTCCTCACCTGTAAAATTAAAGATAATAGTTCTCTCTCATGCACAAGTCATGAGAATAACAACATTAGAGGTTCTGTCTATACAGCACAAGGCAGTACATTGTAAAGATACCCACAGTAGCTCTAAGAAACTAGCTTGAGTCTCAAATGCAGAGTAGCCATGTTAGCATGGTGCTCCACCTGGATTCATTAACCCTACTAAGGAATGTCACACTGATGCGGCACCTTGGCTCCTGCACTCAGTTGGCTCATTCAGTGCTAGTTCAGGTATTTCTGCACAGGGCTACATTGCCAAGTGCAAACAAAGCCCCAAACTATGAAACGTTCATATACAGTGGTACAGAAGGCCATGGAGTATGTAGTATAAGAGTGTAGATGTAGATGTAGAGGAGGTAAAGGTGACTCCTTGGAATCCACTAGATTTTAACCACTAATGCTCAAAGTAGAGTTTGACCCCCAGCACTGATGGTTGGATAAATACCCAAAAGCATGGGTACTCACTTGGATCTCACGAACCTGAAAACTGACAAGCATGGGTACTCACTTGGATCTCACGAACCTGAAAACTGACTAGAAATTGCATAAGAAAAGCCTTCTGAGATTTCTCCTTGTATTTTGGTACCTTGGCTTCAACGTCTGGATGGAAAAATGAACATAGTAGGATTTTTTAAAGTTAAGTAGCTGTTCCATGACTTTCACAGGGATTTTGTCTGGGTTCCATGCTAGTTTTGCAAGTCATAAAAACAGGTGAAAGACCTAATTTTCATCTCTTTGCACCAGCAATACATCTGTGTAACTCCTCTGATGCTAATGCAGTGATTTTGGAATCTAGAAGGAATGAGTCCTGACTATTATCATTCTTTGAAGCTGCCGAATTCATGAGTGCCCTGCTGCCTGGTGAGCCAGTAACCATAGTGGTTTCCCTCACATTGAGCTATGATTTCCATTCTCAGGCTTCACAAACGTTTCAAGCATTTTTCTTGACAATCAGATTTATGAAAGTCTAACAGAAACAATTCTTCTTCCAGGAGAATTAGATTAGATTGTAATAAAAGGAGCCATGTTTTATTCAGAAGTGGGACTAGGGAGGGAGAGGCTCTTTGCACTGCACAGTCATGTTCACCTGGTGGCTATTGTGTAGGCCACTGACCTCCTACAGACAGTCATTGACTGTGGGCATGGAGATTTAAATCTTCCTCTTTGCCCAGGACAGCAAACAAGGCCTAACTATAATTGGCCACTCCCCATACATGCCTGACATTTGGGAGCATAACTTCTGACTGTCTCAGACCACATCCTAAGAACTGGTGCCTCAAAATGGCTCCTTTCTCCAGCTTCATACTGAGCCATCCGCTTACAGTGACCTTCCTCTTAGCTGCAGACATACATTCATGGCCTCCCCAGTGATCCAAGAACTAGGTCTATCCACAGTTCAGTTCATACTATAATATTTTGAGCTGATGGAATCTATCTCCAGATTTCACACCACCTTTGCAAAGGCAAGCAAACATTACCTCCATTTTACAGGTAGGGAAAATGAGGTACAGGAAGGCTAAATGATAGGCTGCAGGTTACTTGATGCAACACAGCAGAACCAGGATTAGAAGCTGGCTTTCTTGACTTTTATCTCAAAACTTATTCTACCAGACGACTGCTGCCCCATTGCTAACACTGTAATTAGTAGGTACTGAGCCATTTATAGTTTGGATAGCCAGTTCCCTTCTGATACTAACAATTAGATCTGGCACGCAATAGCTGAGCTTTGGGGTAGCTGAGATTCTTCCTCGTTTGGAGCCAGAGTGGAACTACACAGTGCGGCAAGCGCACTTAGGCAACGTTCTTCCCTGACATTTAAGAAGGAATTTAATATTTGGCCGCTCTAGGGGATGAAGAGAAGGTGCTGATTAGAGTCTGGAAGCATTTGGTGCCTGCTTTTATATTTGCTTAGTTTGGTGGATTAGCTGAAGGACTCAGTGTGAGCATTTTGATGATGCAGAACTTAGGTTGATCCTCAGAGCTGACGAAATATGAGATAGGTTAAAAGCATCAGTGAGGGAGAGATTTCATGCTTTCTTCAGTATTTATGGCTTGCCAGCTATTTTAGTTTTTAAATAGCACTACTCTACAGCAGGTCACTGTTTAATCCCACTTTATTTTGTTCTGTTCTTTTTATAAGATTCCCAGCTCCCTGCAGGATTCAATTGCAACTTTGATCTCCCTGAAGACCTGTGTGGTTGGTCGCTTGACTCTGCTACGGGTGATGTGTGGTCTTTCCATTCTAGAAACACCTGGATTGACAATTCAGAACCAAGCACCGGGTCCCTTCCTGGTAAGCCAATTAATATAATGTAAGAGAGGGAAAAAAAGGCTACAGCATTTTTCCATGGAAAAATGGGATGGATTTTGTCAGTACTTAACATTAGTGAAGGCTTTGCAGTGTTGAACATTTTCTGTTGGGTATTCTGATTTGCAAGTTCTTTTCATATTTATGGGACTGATAATCAGGGATCCTGGTTTTCTCTGGTTTAAAAAAATCCCCAATTTTGGTTTAAAAAAAAGTAACCCCAAATCCACATTGTTCTGTGTTTTAAATGAAACATCACGAATATATATAGTGGTGTTTCCTTTTAATCATGGAAAAATATGGATTTGGGGTTACTTTTTTAAAACCAAAAATTGGGGACATTTTAAATCAGAGAAAACCAGGATCGCTACTGATAATCACGGCCCTGACTAGAGCCAGGCTTGAGCCGGAGGCCTGGCTCTGAATGCCCAACAAAATATACAGGAAAGTTTGGACTTGAATACAAATCCTGATCCAAACTTCTTTGCTTGGGCCCATCTATTATCCCACACTGTGTTTCTCCTCTAGCTGTGTATCCTCTCTCTTTCTCAGAGCCAATATAACATCCCTGTGCCTGGGGGAAGGTGCAGACTTCAGCTATTTGGCACCCTGTGGTTGCACAGAAGAGATTTCAGTTGTTCATGCTAATAGAACTCTTTAAGGATACAGAAAACACTTACTGCTTGAATTTTTATCTTTCCCTCTTCTGCTAGGGACCTGTGTTTTGAGAGCAGAAGAACTTGGGTTTTCACTAGGGCTGAGTGAGCCTTGCTGGACTTAATTAATAAAGGGTTTTGTAGAGATTATTTGCAGAGATTGGGAGAGAGCCAAATGTTGCTGATTTGTTTGGAAGATCAAATTCCTTAGACTCCTCTCTTGGAACCAGTTCTGAGACCTGTGCCCTCTCTTTACCGTAGATATCTTTGGAGGAGAGGTGTGTGGAGGGTGAAGGATGTTCACTGCTTTCCAGATAACATTAGCTCAGTTAATCACTTAATCTTTTGTAAAAATGGGCTGAGCTCAGCACAGCAAATGCAGTGGTTGCACTGAGGCTGAGGTGAAAATATTTCACATGGCTTTAGTTCTGTCTTGACACGCAACAGTAGTGTCCACATAGAATCTTAAGGTGTGTCTACACATCCATTAACACACTTTAGTTATTGTGCATTAAATCTAGTACCTCCATTGTGAGGTACTAGGAAAATGTGCATTAGCCTGTATTAATGCACATTAACTAAAGGGCACAGGGCACCTGCTAATTAGCATGTGTCAGAGCAGACTCAGTGAATCGAGTCGGCTGTACTGTGTTAATTAATACACTCCAGTAGCTTCTGTGTCCTATCTATTCAGCGTCCCCATGCTTTAAAATGGCAGTGGGAACACTTTAACTAAAGCTCGTTGAATGAGATTTAGTTCAAGTGCCCCGCCACCATTTTGAAGTGCAGGACGCTGAATACATGTGACACTATAGGCGCTTTAATCAGAGCGGCTCTCAGAGCTACTCTAATTAAAGCACCTGCTTCTGCTCCCTGGAGCACACGTATAGATGCCCACAGTTTTTAAGTGATGCTTAATGTGTATGAGCCTATTTTAATGTGCGTTAACTAAATAGCACTAAATAGCTAATTAACTAAATAGCTTTTTTTTTTAGTGATGCTTTAATGTACATTAAAACAGGCTAATGCATATTAAACCACACGTGTAGACGTGCTCATAGAGAAGAAAGCTGGAAGCGACCTCCAGAGGTCATCTAGTCCAACTCCCCACGTGAGACAGGATCATCCCTATCCAAATCATTCTATACAAATTCATTGTCTAAGCTCTTAGCAAAACTACACAGTCAGCCCTGACACAAAACAAGACATAACACCCTAACCTGCCACAGGTAAAGCAGGGAAACCATGGTGGCCAGTGTTCGGCTGCTGTAAAAATTGTTAATATACTCTTGAGATATCCAAGGAAGGGGCCACTACAGGGGCAGACAAAAACCCCCACAGTCAGTACCAATCTGACCATGGCTTAAAATTCCTTCTTGACCCCAAATATGGCGATCAGTCTTACCCATATTGTGTCAGCACATGTATTAGGCATGAGGAATTGCAGTAGTGAGTTGATTCCTCCTGTCTTTGCATTGCCTCTTTCATAATAGGATTGGGTCCTAAAACCTACACACACACACACACCCCCCCAGACTTTTCCTGTTGACTTCTGAGGTGCACAACCCTCTTACACCATGTATTGGTACTGGAAAAAGCACAAGCTTTATGGACATCTGACAAATCCTTTGACATGACACAGGGTTCGCAGTGCCTGCTACAGAGAAAAACATTTTCATATTTCAAGTGTTTATCTCTTCAGCATTTGAGTGCTTTAGAAGATTAATATCTGAAGATCACTGGGGCCTCAGGCAACAGGAGAGAACACTTACAGCCAGTCCCAGACTTAATAACCCTCCCCATCTCATTCGCTGTAATAATGTTTAATTAATATAAGCCTCCTGCAAGTAGGAAAAAAATTACTTATTTTTATAACTCAGACTCAATTTTTCATTTCATTTCCTCTCCCCTGAGTCTCCCTACAATTAATTGGCCTTTTTTTCTTAGAAGACTCTGTGCATGTGTGTGTGCAGGGACAACCTGGGATAAACGATGCTTGTTCAGAGAATATGGCCTGCTCTGTCTGTCTGCCATGTTAGTGATGTGTTCTTTCTCCATTGTTCAGGTGTTTCCTCTCTCTTTCTCAGTTAGCTCTGAATTGCAGTCTCTTTAGCCTATATGGCCTGATCCAAAACTCCATGTAGTCAGCAGGAGTCTATCCATTAATTCTGGGGAACTTTGTATCTGCTTTCTACTTATTGCTATTATTATTTTTACTACCTCACTGTTCAGAATCTCCCATAGAGATTGGATTATCTTTGTGTTAGGTGCTCTACAGATACAAAGCAAGAGAGAGCCCTTGACCCCAATTTTTTATAGTTTAAATAGGCAAGACGGGCATAAGTTGGGAGGAGAAAAGAGCAGTAGCGTAGCGAAGAAGGGGGTGACCAGGGCATCAGCCTTGGGTGCCGAGTTGAGGGGAACAGTGCAAAAACAGCAGCTGTTGTGCTGCTGGCCCAACTGCCACAGACACTACCCTGCTCGCTGCCACCACCCTGGGCACCACCTCTGGCACAGAGCGAGGATGGGATGTCACCAAGGTCACAGAATATTTTGGTGACAAAGCTAGGGATAGGATCCGAGTCTTTCTGAGCCTATGGTGTCTCCCACCTGCAAAAGAAGCTGTCAGAAAGCTTGCTTTGATACTCACACTGGCACATGAAGCAGCTCTGACCTCCTCTCCTTCCCTCAACACACCCTCACCTGAAGCATGAAGTCAGTGAAACTTGTGTCTGGCCGTAGGATGGCAGTTGGCTTTGCCAAGCTAATCAGTTACGCCCAAATCTTTGGAGGAGGGTGTCCGACAAGCACGTGTCCGCTGCCCGGGCTTGGAGCGCGTTTAGCTTTTCACTACATTGAAGGAATATAAAGAGGGCTGTACGAAAAGGGACAACTGGGTCTTACTTTGTTCCTGTTTTAAGGAATTAGGAAGCGAAACACAACACAAAGGGAAACAACTGTTTGCTTTTTTCCAGCTTTAAAAAGTGACTCAGAAGTTTAATAGAGCTTCTCGTAGCCTGTTAACGGGGAACAGAATAGCTATATTGTTTATTTCACACTCCCTCATTCCTCTGATGGTTTTCTAGTCACCCCTGTGGCATTTTGCTTTTACTTATAGCATTTACCATCAGACTCCAGGCAAGAACAGATAAAAAGTCCTTTCTGTTCAGGGTGGTCTTTTCTCCTGAACCCCTCCCCTAGGGTGAGCAGTTGGATAAAGGAGAGCATCTGTGCTTACTTTAGGGGCAGGGCAAATGCTAATGGAGGTTGGTTCAAGTTGCTGGAGACCCTTTACATTAAAATTAAAGGTGCTGGTACAACCGGGATGGCTGGTCTGTTCCATAATGGAGTCACATGCACTGTGCCTTTAAGAGGCATGTGGAATGTGTTTCTGTTTCTTCATCAGATGGCAAAACAAAAAAATTAAATTAGAAGGAATAAAAGGAGGGGCCCTGGCTGAGGATGCATGGGAGAAAGGGGAGAAATGGCAGTGAGCAAATTCCAAGCATTTGATTAGAAAAGTGTGTGGAAAGATGGACTCAAATTCTTTCAAAATCTCTATCTATCATGGGGAGGGTGCTCTTAGTTCTCTTCTTTGGCATTGGTAACTACTTCTCAAGGCTGGCAAGACACCCACGGCCTTTCTTCCACTATTTTTATTTCCAAGATTACTCTTGCAGGCAGCTCAGAGTTTCTTTTTTTAGTACGATGTTCCTTGCGCTTTTAGCTACATGGATTATCTTCATGTCATCCCCTAAGAGCTCCAATTACAAATTCAGGGACCCCTATTGGTGAAAGTGAAGCCAAGTTGCTCAACTCAGCCAAAACCCATCGTGACTCCAGCTGTTATCCAACTTTTTGCAGGGCAAAAGGAATACAGGTCTTCCCATTTCATGCCCCTAGGAAGGTTTCAACATTTGTTTCCCACTAGGGACCGTCAAATGCTTCCTATCCATAAAAAAAGATTTCCCTCTGCAGGGAGGAAGCTGAGCACTGTTTGCAGTAGGACCAGCTTTCAATGGGGTCTGATCCTGCTCCCACTGAAATCAGTGGCAAAACATTAGTGTCCACTGAGCAGAATCCAGGATTCTTAAGGGACCAGAATCCATTTATTTAGCTCAGTGACTCAAGTCTTAGAAGTGCCTGTGAGGCCTGCTGTAATAATGAGCATTGCTGATTACCAGGGAGGTGCATTTGTTTGAATAAGAAAAGAGGCTGTGGTCAGCTTCTCAGTTGATGTGAATCAGTGTCATTCCTTGGATTTACAGGGATGCAGCAGCTGAGAATCTGGAGCATGTGGATTTTGCAGTCACTAAATAAATAATTAGA